GCTAATACTGTCGGACCAAATGTGCGCATTTGCTACAAACAAAGTACCTACATCTTAATTATTGAGATAACAGTAACAAAATAAATAAAAAAAATTTAATTTCAGTTTTAAAATATAGATACTTCGAAAAAAAAAGTTTACAAGTTTTTACAGCAAATCTTAATAATTAAATCTTTTGCTTCGAAATTAATACGGAACTTCAATATTTCCATATGATTTTGAATTGAAAAAATAAATATTTTGAAAAAAATTTGTTTCAGACATCAATACAAATTTCAAAATTTTGAATGACATAAAGAAATTCAAGATTTCAAAACATTTTTTGCAAGTACTGAAGTTGAATTGAGKTAAAATTTTTCAAAAATTAATTCGAAGTGAATTTGAATTTAAAAATTTTGCATTTTGAAATATTTTTTTTAAGACGTTTTAGTGAATAATACGCACAATTTTCCTTTTTTTCGAATTATCAAATACGTTTTGAAAACAAAATTTTCGAAAAGTTTCAAAATTTTGCACGGTTTCAGTAATTTTGTACAGAAACGTGAATTTTAACTATTTTTCACATTAATTCTGAGTTAAAGCTTGGCAAACRTTGAACGGCTTTCCTGTCACCTGCACATGTGCTTTCCTTACGGTTACAAGCATATAATCATGTACACATGTCGTTAAGTTAGTTTTCTTAGAGTGAAAGTGCTTAACTGTAAACTCAACATACATTTACAATAAACGCTAGTTACACACATAGTTGTTATTTCACTTGTTTTTACAACTATTTTAGCTTTTCGCTGTTTTTTTGGGCGGCTGAAAAGCTTATATAAACATATATATATTTTTTTTAACTTTTTTGTTTGAAAAACTAATTAATTTTAGAATTACTTTTTTTTAGGATTTGTTGCAGATTTTATTTCATACATTTTTGCGAAGTGTCCAAAAGTACACAGTGATTTTGTGTTTTCTATTATGCACATATGTATGTTTACATATGTTATTTTATGCCTTTTATATATACATATTTGTGTGGTTGTTCTCTTTGTTATTGTTTATTGCACGCACCACACGTGTTCATTTTTGTTTTTGTTTTGCACTTCACTTTTCGCCCTTTACAAACATAATATACATACATACAAGTATTGCGTATTTGTAATGCTTCTTCTTGCTACTAATAATTACATATATATAAGGATATAAAATCTCTTAAATATTAACAAAGTGTGTGTGTATGTCTATATACATACGTATGTGTGTGTATATTTAGTTGTGTGTGTGGCGATGCTGCTTCAATGTCMATAATGGAGCGCAACTTCAAAGAGATACAATTTTTTTGATTTGTGTTATTTAATTTTTTTACTCATTATTTTTTATTCATAA